TCTTTGGATATGCCGAAGAAGGTTGTGTGGCTGAGATCAGTTCATATAGATCAGGTGCTGCTTTCCTTCACCTGACTCAATTTTATCCATATCAACACACGCACACATAAACATAAAAGAAATACACTGCATACGTGCATGTTGGTTAATTGTTGTATCCTCATGTTTTTAGCCCTATATCCCAGAAAATAATTCATAATTTCATTTTTTCACTTCACAGTCCCTGGTTTCACATACAGTAGCTGTTTGGATCCATTCTACTTGAAGCACCATTAAGAATATTTTAATATTATTCAAGTGTGAAAAAGTAACTTGTACTGCATATGACAAAAACAACTCTGTACAATTTTCAGCAGCATTCACAAAAGTAATTTGTATACTACCTGTTCAGCACAAATGGGAGAGTCAGCTGAGAGTCAAAGTATACATGTGACTGGTAGAGAAAGTTTAGCATTAACAAGACAGTAGACCATCAATTTCAACTCTCATCAAACAATTTAATCATCTGACTTATACTAAGTTATTTCATTATCTTGAGATAAATCTTGTGTTCTTGAGATAAGATAAAACAAAAGGCTGTTTCCCCTTATTACTTATGTTTATCAGAGATCAGGAGTGCCATTTGTGCCTTGACTTACTGCTCAGTTATGAATCCTCTCCAACATGGCATGACAGTGATTTTGAAGGCTGAAATCAGTTGTGATCAAATGAACCAGACACTCATTTTTGAGTTCTCCATAATAATTAGTTACTGTCAGATAGCCTTGTAAGCAGCTAACTGTAGTTATTGAAAGTAACTTATCAACCAACTACATAATATACATTATCACTTATATTATGTACTTATTCATAACTTGAGCTTATCGCGTAAAAATTAAGGGGCTCATCAAATGTATGTGTGAGGCTACCATCAGCTCAAGCAGCTGTAGAGTGCTGTTGTCAACAATATCATTTAGGTAGGGCTTGTCAGATGTCGTTAACTTAGCTATACATTGTCAGTCATGACTAGCAAAACTCATGGGAGTAACAGAAAAGTAATGCAATGAGTCTAGTAATAAATCAACATAAGCAGAGCATGATTCTTACTTTTGAAGTAACAAAAAAATACCAGCACTCACAGTTAAATGGTCGTATTATTCAATATGGAGCAATCAACGAATGTGTTTCAGCTATAAGCCATCATTTAACTGTGAGTGCTGGCATTTTTTTCATCTTGTTGACTCAGCTGCGACCATGTACCTGAAACAGTGCGCGCTGCCACTGCGCCCTACTTTTGAAGTCGGTCCACTGAAGTGCGACAGTAAAGTTCCTCAGAAGACCCCCCTTTAAACTGTCATCCTGACAACAAGGGTCACAGTCTTGTGAGGTTACTATGAGGTCATCTTATCTTTATCTCCTCAGCTGTCAGTCTCAGTTGTATGTATTCTCAGGCAAGCAACTGGGCCTACCACTTGAATGTTAGACTACTATGTCTTATTAACCTGCCAGCCTTCAGGAAACCCATTCATTGTAAAAACTAGAGTGATAGCTCGAGTATTCTTCATGTGACTAAAGAGAAAGATAAAAGAAAACACTGTGTAGCTTCTCTATGTGCACACCAAAGGCTTCCAAGCAATGTCACAGAAGGATTGCATTTGTTTATCTGAAACCAAAACTGGAATCACTGATATACAAAATATTATTTTGTTTTTGTGGCCGGTAACAAACCAACAGCAGCCTCATGGTCCAATTGAATAGGACCTCATATTTAAACAGTGTTTCTATGTGATTAACCACATGACAAACTGAGCCTAAATCAAATGTCTATATTGATTTCCTCACAGAGAGGTGCCGTCAATCACTGTTACATTCATGTTTATACCCTGCAAAGATATGGAGAGCCCTGTTTTTATGGTTTGAGGCAAGAAGGATAGTTAAGGCACCAAGCCTGTGTGAGAGAGACCATTGGTATATCCATGGCAAAAGATTAATGGCCCACCCATGGTACAGTTGGGAAAGGGCTGCAATTAGGAGTGATGTGTTTAGTGTGTTTGGGGTTAGCATTAATCATGGACAGCCCAATGGGGGGGTACTACCCAAGAACTTTGTCACAAATAAATAACTGAACATGATACACCTATCTCTGTGTTTGCTATCAATCTCACCTGTTGCTCCTGACCTAGCTGGCTTTCCCACAGCAGCATGTTGGCTTCTATCCTCCTCCTCCTTCTATCATACATCTCTCTCTTCGTTTGCTACAGCTATCCCTTCCTGACCCTCTTTTGCTGCCTCAACTGCCACAGCAGTACTGGTTGTAGCCTGAAAATATTCAAAACAAATTACAAATTAATTCATTAGCCAATTACACTGGTTGGACTGTTCTGCTTTCCCATGTTTGTTTTCTTAAGTTTCTAGGTATTAACCTCTGCTCCAGACTGTCTTTACACCTCCTCAGGATCAGTCAATAAGGGAGCAAACATTCAGTATTATAGTTACATAATTAATACATTATCCACTTGCACAAGCAGTCGATATTGACAAGCAACTATGCCAGCCATCTTCCCCGCAGGGAAACAATGATAGCAATCCCTTCTCCCGCTCATGATCACGCTTTGATTCAGAGTGTGCACAGAGAGGAGGGGCTGTTCACAGACAGTCTGTTGTCAATGTGTGTGTGTGTGTGTGTGTGTGTGTGTGTGTGTGTGTGCGCGCGCGCGCGCGCGTGTGTGAGAGTGAGAGTGAGAGAGAGAGAGAGAGAGAGAGAGAGAGAGAGAGAGAGAGAGAGAGAGAGAGAGAGAGAGAGAGAGNNGTGTGAGAGAGAGAGTGAGAGAGAGAGAGAGAGAGAGAGAGAGAGAGAGAGAGAGAGAGAGAGAGAGACAGACAGAGACCAAGAGGGAGAGAGACAGAAGGAGACTGTGAGAGCCACAGCTGACTGGCGTGTTTTTAACATTCACATTATTTACATTTTTATATGTAAATACAACGTACGATCAGAGATATAATTCAGTAAGTACAATGCCTTAGATATTTGCATGGGCCCCTCCTTGGCCTTGGGCGTACAGATGTACCTGTTGACATCCCCCCGCACATCTGTAACAAAATTGTTGAAACCCTTAAAGTCTTAAATTTGTGATACCTATAAATAAACGAGGCAGTGAACATCATTAATTCCCAGACTCCACCAAGGACACCACCACCATATGCCTCACAATGGGACCAATTCAAATCACAACAGTGGGCACAAATGGGGACCATCCAACACAGTGACAGTGATAGTGCTCCCACTGGGACACCAGCAGAACAGGCTGTCTGTATCTCACTATGCCAAAGAAGGTTCAAATAATGAATGATTCCTCAACAATAAAGCAGCCTATCTAAGACATACAGGTCTCGCATTTAACAGATTCAAGGATTAATCAATTAATTGGGAAAATAATCAGCACGTTAATCCATAATCCATAATAATAATCGTTAATTGCAGCCCTAATAAGAATTGTTTACAGTATTTACATCTTTACAGCCAATATAGTGTACATACTGTAAATAACAAGTAACCTTTCATGAAATGTGATATTTTGATGGCAATAAGAATATCAAGTCCATTTCACAGTGACTGACCTATGACTAAAAGGCAGTGTAGCCAATCAAAGTCTTTGCACTTGAATCCAGTGCAGCAGAAACATGAAAAGACAGAGGAGCAAATAACTCCAGTCCTAGATGTCATATCACGTCACATATTTGAGGCCAAGCCTCGAGTTTTGCCCCAAGCAGCATCTACTAACAGGAAACTACTTTTCTTGTCCTTCAGTGTGCAGAGTCACATTGTGTGTCATCTTAAACATGACTTTACTGTCCAGTGGTGCAAATGTGCTTTCATATCTATATCTTCTGAAAGACTACTGTGTGATCGTTGTAATTAAACTGTGCAATAACAGCAGGCTTTGACTACGTTTAAATGCAACAATAATATCAGCAATAGTCTGATTTATCCGCTGAACAGACTACAACAGAATATTCCCCAGACAAATCCAGTCACATTTTGTCAAATTAAACCAAAACTATGAATACATCAGGAGGTTAATACAAACTGGTGTTTTGTATGTGTAAACTGTTTATCAAGTGTCTTGTTATTGTGTCACCAGCTGCCACACTCCTGAAAGCCCATGTCAAATACTAAGTTATAGAAAAGACATGGAGTTGTAGAGTTAGAATACTGACATTGATCAGTTAAAAGAAGGTTCTGTGATTATTTTTGCAATCGCCTGCTTACCACATCAGATACAACATGCACAATGCATTGTGACATTCTTAAATATAAGGGTGCAAATTACACGCACAGACACACACACACACTGCTCCTGCTGCCTGCAAGTGGCTGCAGGGGTTCATTATGCCAGAGAAAAGCCTCCCCTGGCAGTTGTGAAAAACACAGATGTGTAATTATCCATATACACTTACTGCCATTATTAGATTTATAGGATATGTTCACATCTTTTCACATGCTTGAAGAATGGAAAAGAAAAACATGACTATATGTGGTTTTGCAAACACCTACAGTTGAATGCAGGCCAGCTGCATTATGTGCTATATTGGCGGCCTAGTTAAACACAGGGTACCACTGGATACCAAAACTCCTAAATGAAGCCGTGTGAGAGAGAGAAAAAGAGAAAGACATGGCAGCAGAATAAGAGTAAGAAAATACAGAAATAGTATGACCATCTCCTCCTCACTCTTTCACACATCATTATTAAATATCTTGCACATCTTTTAGTGGATGCTTACACTGACCTTATACCTGTCTGTACATTATGTACACACACACAGATACTCACAATTCCATTTCCAGCTCAGCACCAATTACAGCAGCAGCAAGGATCAGCGCGCGCACACACACACACACACACACACACACACACACACACACACACACACACACACTTCTAACCCTAACCTTAAAACCAAGTCTTATCCCTAAAAAAAACAAGCCACCACACACTCACACACAAACAAATTTCTCTTACCCAAAAGGCCTCCCACCAGGCAGACCGAGGTGGACAGTTGGACCATACTCTGGCTTAAGTCCTCAGCTCCACAGTGCTTTCAACTCAGCAGAATGTGTATGCACAAATACACAGACAGGACCGGCCACACAGAGACACACACACACACACACACTGCTGCTACAACACTGCCGTCTGTAACTCTTCAGTGTGTGTGTTCAGCACGCCACACATGGATTGTCAGGCTTCAGGTCTTCATTGCACTGTTGAGTGAAACATCCCAGCAGAGACAGCTCCTGGCTTTTATGGCTCTTGTGCTCCTGTACTTCCCGCTGTAGACAGTCTGAAAGTAAGAGATAAAAACCAGTCAGGGAACCAGAAAGGAAGATACGCAAACAATCAGACAGATGGTGGAATAAAAACCGGCAGTTACTCCAGAGACAGAGTTTAAGCCTGAAAAGTCTCAAATCTTCTGGAATATTTGTATTTTGTTGTACTTGTAAACTCAGACCTGTTAAAAGGTTTCAAGGATTAAATTTTTATAAAAAAATAATGAATTGGAACTGTCTGTTAAGACTGAATGGGTGGCGACAATAAATATTTTATGCATATACATGCAGTATGTGCATGTAAAGAAAGTCTTCAGGTAAAGTTTATATGGAATAGTTTGGTCATTTGGTATTTGGTCATAAACCAAAGTATTGGACAAAATGACATTTCACTCTGATGATGGGACTAGATGAGAAGTCAGAGCATCTCCAAAGTTACTACCAGTCGTCTAGAGAAAGGTATTAACATCTGTACAAAATTAAAAATGACAACCCCTCCAGTAGTTGTTGAGATATTTCCGTTCAGACCAACTTAATAATCAACAATACTGAATGGATTTTTGAGATATTTGATGTAGATATCCATGGTCTCAAGAGGATGAATTGTAAGATAGCACAATCATCAGGTCACTCTTCAGGTTGGTTGTTTTGTCTGATGTACAGTTCACATCTACATCCTCATCAGGTGCATCTTGCTCCTTTCAGCGCAAATGAGCTCCGAGGTCCTCATTCCAGCTGCTCGCATCCACAGTCTCATTCTTTCGATCACTAAACGCTCATGGTCATGGATGAGGGTTGATCAGAAGCTTTGCCCTCTGCCTCAGCCCCCTCTTCACCACTGCGGTCCAGCACAATGTCCACATTGCTGGTGACACTGCAGCAATCCTCCTGTCCATCTCACGTTCCATTTTGCCTTCACTCGGAACAAGATCCCAAGATACTCAAACTTCTTCACCTGGGGGAGCAACGCACCCTCAACCGGGAGGGAGAAGTCCACTGTTTTCTGGCAGAGAACCATGGCCACAGATTTGGAGGTGCTGACTCTCATCCTGACCACTTCAGACAGTGCATGCAATAAGAACGGGCAAATGAAGCCAACAGAACCACATCATCTGCAAAAAGCATAGACGCAATTCAGAGGTTCCCAAACTGGATACTGGAAACTGTAGCCTGGATGGTCAAACTCCCATGACCCCCTGAGCAACCTTGCAAGGGTAAAGATCTGTTCCTAGTGTTCTACGGCCAGAACAGAATCCACATTGCTCCTGCTGAATCTGAGGTACAACAATCGGTAGGAGCCTCTTTTCCAGTACCCTCGTATAGGCTTTCCCAGGGAGGCTGAACAGTGTGATACCTCAATAATGGGAGCACACTCCCTTTTTGAAGATGGGAACCACCACCGTGGTCTAATAACAATACCATTTCTAATTCCCAAATCCCTGTGCCTCTATTTGTAAACCTGCCTCTGGATGTAATGAGCAAGTAATCACTGTTACAGCTGACATCTGGTTCTGCTAAGAGCCAGAATGGTGTAATTATATGGACAATTACAGTATATTTGTCAGGAGGATCTTTCAAATTAGAACAGTAATGAATTCTGGTGCTCTTACAAACCCACTCCCAGACACCGTTCCTGAACTGGTACATTATCATTTTACAATTCTGAATCACAGGGGGTGTAAGGCTACCTGACCCAAAAGTGACTGCCGCAGGCCAAAATGAAAATAAATCTTTACAATTTCATCATTTCACAAAGTTTCATTGCAATCCATCCAATAGTTGTTGAGCTATTTCAGTCTGGACCATCATGGTGGAGCGACCTCCTGACCAATCAACATTTCCAACCCTAAAGCCACTTGCATGGCTAAAAAGCCAAATTCAACTGGGTTCATATAGAAAGGTTATTGAAAATGGGAGGAACTGCACTGTATGTACTAGCTGCATATTGTTTTACACGCACCCAACCAAACACAGTCTAAATTTAGATAGCTGAATTTCATTATTAAAACATGAACCTGACTTACTTATTTGAATTTGCTTTAGTTTTAATTTTTCATGACACACAAGGGCAATTCTAAAGGAGCACAAGTGCACCTTCAAACTGGCCGAAAATCCAGAGTAAAAGCTTTGGTTTTTCAAACATGGCATTATATGAGGCAACTTACATCGGTAAATCACTTTTTATACATTGTAGATTACCTGCATTTAAAAATTGGCAATTTTACATATACATTAAAAACAAGAAATATTGTTGGCAGCATTTTCTTAAAATGCATGCAAATCTACTTGGTTCAGGAGGTAGAGCAGGTAGGTCGCTGATCCCTGTGTTGGCGGTTAAATCCCCGGCGGATCTGAGCACAGGTTGCATCAGGAAGGGTAAAAAGTAAAACTATGCTAAATCCAATCTGTGGATGGTGATAGGCTGTGATGACCCTTCACGGGAGCAGCCAAAAGACAGCAACAACAACCAGAGGGAACTCTGTACCTCACCTATAATCTCTGAAGCCATCATCAGCATCCATGCAGAAGAGTCCCACAGAGATACAGAACTTAGCAATTGAGCCCAGCCAGCTTCCACTCATCACCAATAAAAGCCAGTTTACCTATTAGGTAATTCTGTAGGATAAGGTCTGTGCACAGTTCAGAGAAGTCCTGTTGTTCATCTTCAACTCTGACCCATCTTTGGGCATCATTTGTGCATATGGTTAACAGATGTATCCCAAATACAGACAATATGCTTGTCTCCTCACGTTCAAAAACCTCGCACCTTTCTGTGGAACTGCAAGGTAATTTGATATTCAACTCTTGAGCTCAATGCAACTTCACAGCATGCAGCAGACAAGAGCAGAAAGAAGATCAAGATAAAAGGCAAGTCTATAAATTCCATGCTGTCAAACAGGTGCTGAGTCAACACTATGATCCTTTTGGAGGCTGTGTTTTGTGGTGTTGTTGTACTGGAGTGCATTATATTTATATTATAAGTGTTTCTAATATTTGTCCAACCCCATTAGACACAATATTAAAAAACATGTCAAAGAAAGCTGAGGCATTCTCATTCAAGTCAGAGAGCAGCGCACCCATCACTCTCCTGTGTCTCGTCAATAAAATGTTCCGCTCTCAAGTAAACTCCAGCAAAGCTCAGGAATGCTTCTGATGTTTTGAATACACACATGGGAACTGATCTGTATAATCACTGGTGAATCTCACCAATTTGTTAGTCATTCAACAGAATATGGTATTTCTAAACAATTCCATGTGTCGCTTTTGGGACAACATACTGATGACATGATGACATGTCAATAATGTAATTCATAGTTAATTGAGAGGATATTTAAACATGTCTCAGTTTTCACATAATATTTACGTGCAGTATTTATCCAGACAATAAACAATTTTAATTATGAGTCATTCCTTCCTCCTCTCCCTCTCTTACTTGCGCATTTATTCCTCTGTTCCTGCCTTAATCTTCCTCCTCATCCCTTTCTCACCCTCTTGATTGTCCTTTGGCCAATTTTATTCCAGCACCTCACTGCTGCACATCATACGTCAGTGAGCAGCCAGCTGGCTATAATTCAGTGACTTGCCTTCTGGTTGAATATGCCACCAGTGGTGTAGTCATTGCGGCAGGCTGCCAGCCTGTTGCTGCAGAGGTCAAAAAACAACTAAACCCAACAGTTGGTTTCAACAAATATGGATAGAACGGTCGACAGATTTGGCACATTTGATTAATATTTTTCTGATCTTACAAACAAGACATATCAGCCACTCTAATTATATCGTCTTCCACTCTAGGTGTCACCAGAGCTGCGTGCACTGCTCAGTAAAACTGCTCGTGTTACACATCTGCAGCCTGCATTTCCATACTCTAGTTGGTAACACACTAATTGCTCTTAAAATTGATGTGCTCACCTCAGGTTTAAACATGTAACAGAGCAACTAGAATTTGTTTACAAGCTGCTGCCCAGTTCTACAAAACTGTGTTAATCGGGTAAAGGGATGCTCACCTGACCAGACACAAAACTGTCTATATGTTATAACATGTTAGGTCTCATGGTGAACCTTTTGCACCTACACTGGCAAATAATTAATAAAAGTTTAATCTCTAAACTGCTTTCAGGGTACTCTCAGAAAATGACAGTCTGTGATCATCCAAATTATTTACCAGTTGATTTGTTTAGTACTTCTGTTCTTACAAAAGCCCTAACAGTATATATTCATTCCCCATACATCCATGCTAACCTCATCCTAATTCTAGACTTAAACTCCATAGGAGCCATAATCCTCACACAGTGACGTGAGAGTGGGTCAAAATGTCCTCACACAAAAAGTCATCACTGGAGGTCTAAACCTCAGATTCATCCTCACAAAGACAGATTAATAGGAGCAAGGGAGCAGGCACGCACGCACGCGCACGCACACACACACACACACACACACATTGTTTGTAGCTGACTCACTGCAGCTTTCCTCCTCTGTTTTCTTACCCTCCTGTCCCCTCTCTGCACTCAGGATTTTTTTTGGGTCTACAGTGAATTTTTCCAACACTTCTTATCTGTCCTTTTAGCTCATCAATCCAATCCATGCAGGTTTAATAAGTGATGATGACAGGCCACTGAAGGGTGCACCATGATAAGATGAAGCAGAAATGCCTGCTGCATTTGCACTTACTAAAAAAAAACAACAATTGCATCAAAAAAAATTGAAGCTAGCTCAGATGAGAAAGTTGTCAAGGCGTGAACTGCACCTAGTTGCATTAACTTCTCTCACCATGTCCACTTAACAGTTATTTACTCTTTTTGCAAGAAAATTTTGATTCAGCCTCGGCTCTGGTGTTGAAATTGCCTGACGCGGATGTTTATGTAGTCTAGCTGTAGTTGCCTACTCTTGCTGTGAGAAGTTCCCCTCTGGGATCAATATATTCTCACCCTACATGA